ATATTTCTGATAATTACCTGTTCTGGAGCCACATGACAAAAATTTGATATTTTCTCCTTGGCAGAATTTCCAATAGGCTTTTCTGACCTACAAACTATGAGATCAGGTGACAACCCCAATCCACGAAGCTCTCTCACAGATGACTGCGTTGGCTTAGTCTTATGTTCACCTGTTGATTTTGGCTAAAATATTAACATAATTAAGAAGAATGTTTTCCATAAAAATCATTTATAAAATTTCGTAAAGATTATTCACGTTTATTGTTAAATATTAAATTTATGAAAAAGATATTAATACTAAGATATCAAGATTGCAAACATGTTACCTGCGGTACCAAAGACACATGAGCAACACAGAAGTTTTCTTTTCTGACTCGAAATTGAAATTGTCGGAATGCTTCTACAAACGGCATACCCTCTATGTCTCCTATTGTACCTCCTAATTCCACTATGCAAACCTATGTAGTAAAATGTAGTAAAGTAATTTTAAGTAAAATAGATTTGGCAAACAAACACCAATAAATAAATGCATGTGTATGAGAACGAGCAAATGCAAGCAAATGTCAGTGCCAACGAGCTAAATATCGAAATATGAACATATGTAAGCGAAAACTGAACCAGATAAAATTTTGTGAATATTTTTTTGTTTCCTAATTGTTAGGTTTTGAATCGTTATAAACAGAAATAAATTAAAATTTTTTATTTATTTTTATATTAGTAAAAATGTCCATGCCGAATCTTAATTTTTTGTTGAACAAATTATTTCACAAAAAATTATTAAGAAATTATTCAATCAAAAATAATTACATAATTATTATAAATCTGAATATTATAAATTTACCATAAAGATATTAAAAAAATATTTTTTAAATTTATGCATCTTATAAAATTATCAATACATAATTACTGTACATAATTTATGTATAAATAATACCTCTGGTTTAGCTCCATCTTCTGTCACAGATTGATTTGATACTCTCTCTACCCATTCTTGTATAGCATCAGTGATATGAGGTACCACTAAGAAACAAGATATGTTTTTTATTAATTTATTTATCTTATTATATGGAGGTATATCTGCAATATTATAGACTTGTAACCTTGCACAGTTTTTCCTAAATAATCTCCTTTTCTTTCCTTCGAAATAACATGCTCGTAAATCTTTCCTGTCGTTATGTTATTGTCCCTATGAAGAGTAATATCCAAAAAACGCTCATAATTGCCAAGATCTAAATCCACTTCTCCACCATCATCAAGTACATAAACTTCTCCTATATTTTAAGAAAAAGCTTTTGTTAGAATTTACAGAATAAGAGACAGGCAAAAGGTGTAGAAATAAAAGCGGATGTGTCTATAAGAAACCAGTAACATAAGAATGTTTTCTTTTCAGGAATGCCTCCGCATTCTTGCTTGGTGAAACAATGAGAACAAACCACAGGTGTTATGTTTCATTCAATGAATGTTAGAAATTATTCTTAACAGATGGCAAACGAACTGATATACATATATGTTCATAATTATTATACTTTAATAATTAGATATGCACAAGTATTAATTATTGATATATATCTGAACATAATAACACTTTACTTTATGAATAATTTAATAGTAATCTTGTATACACAATACATTTAATATAATTTAGTAGAAAATATTTTTACATTAATCATAATTAAAATATGAAAAATAAGCCTTTTATTCTAATTATATAAACTTTAACATATAGACTTTATTGCTATTTATCTCTTTATGAAGAATTAAATTAATTTCATTTCAATATATTTTTAAATATATATATTTTTTACAGCTATATATATGTTATATATTATACAGCTATTTATATTATATATTATACAGCTGTATATATCATATATTATACAGCTGTTTTATACATTATCCTTACTCTTTGACTGAAAGAAAACTTCAAAATTGTAAAATAATCAATATTAAAGATGATCTGATTTTAGCTAAAACATTTGTTTTTTTAATATTTTGTTTAATTGGGCAATATATACATTTTAGCATTATATTTAGCTTGTACAAGTTTTCTTTATTGATTTTCAAGCTGCTATTTTTACTTTTTTTCTGTAGTTTTCCTTTTTCTATTGACATTTCTTGTATGTTTCTATGTAATTTTCCTTTTATCAGATATGAATAATTGTAATAAATTTCTTAATGGCAATTTATTTTATTCAATTACAGAAAAATGCAATAAACAAATAAATCTATTACATAAATTATATCAATTTAAAAAATTCTATATATTAATACAATTTTTTTAATATAAATAAAATTATTAGTTATTAATTTTTTATTGTATTGTATGTAAGAGATCAAAAAGATAAAGATCAAAATAGGAATTAAATTTCAAGTAATCTTTCTGTAGGATAAATTAATCATGGATTAAATTAATCAGAATTTGATTGAAACAGCATTTAAAAACATTTTTACAGTATATACATACGGAAAAATTAATTGCGAATCTCAATCAAATCAAGAATTTCCTTGCAATCTCCATGTTATTGCACGCGTTCGTTTACTTTATGATTACATTTTACGCGGCAATTCGATAAACTTTTCAGTCGTGTTGATTGGCTATAAAATAGTGAAATCTTCAGATCTCCAGATTTACTCTATTTTATAACCAATCATCGCATTCAAAAAATTAGTGGAACAACAAATGAAACATCAGTCCAAATCATCGAATGTGACGACAACGTAGAAAATGGCGACACAGCACATGGCTGAAAATTTTACCGCCACAAGAGAATTAAGTTCATCAACGATATATGATCGATCGATTTCCGAGCAATTTTATCACATAACCATACACCAAATTTCATTCGATTGGGCGAATCAATCCGTTTTTTTTCCGTCGATGACGAAAAGCCCGAAGACGAACACATGATATTCGAAACCGGCGAGACCATTCAAATATATAAATCTCACGACACGTAAACATCTCTTAATATTCTTCGAATAACCGCAAATCAAATTGACAAGATCGCAATCTGTTGTACTCACCGTGTTCATAAGGACTGAACGTCCCTGCATCGAGGTTGATATAAGGATCAATCTTGATTGACGTCACGCGTATGTTGCAGTGTTTTAAAATAGTGCCAAACGAGCTGGCGATGACACCTTTACCAACGCCGCTGATTACCCCGCCGGTTACTAAAATGTACTTCATAACGCTTTGACAAGACGTAATAACACACGAAAAATTCGTCGGCGTACGTGCGCGAGTCCTCACCTCTCTAAAGCCAGGAACGAATTGAATTGGACAAAATAGTACGTAACCATTAACGAGAGAGTATTAAAGACCATCAACTCTGAACAAATTTTTGTGACCATCAAAAAAGCTGCGGAAGGTCCAGAAATAATTGAAGGATATCATTGGCTGCGTTTCGATATTCACTGCAGATATTCAGTACTGAAAATAGTTCAGGTCACGTATATTATAGATTTTCAGTACTGGCAGTGAATTTCGAAACATAGACTTAAATGATTCCATGTATCATTTTATCCTTCGTCGTTCTTCGAATGTTAACAAAAATAAAATGATACGATGAAGGTGATGTTTCCGAACATAGCCTAACCAATAGGTGCACTCCGTTCTGAAATGTGAGATCGCGACGGTTTACTCGCGCAGGCTGTATTATCAGTCGCCTCCAATAAATTTAAACATTGGCAGGAACATGCATGTATATGCAGGCACATACAGAAATGTTAGTGTTATATTGTAAAATAAATTTATGATATTTAATATAAATATTTAAATAACAAATTCATGGTTATTTATGATACAAATGCTTTGTAAACAAATATGCACTTATAATATCATATAATATACTACTTATAATATCATATATATAATCACAAAATCACCATTTCTTTTTCTTACAGTTATCATCTTTATAGAAATATAGTTTTTAAATAAAATTAAATATATGCAAGTCTATATATATATATATATTTGTATAAAAAATATTAGAGAGAATACGATATTTTTATTTATTTCTCTCGAGTTTTGGCATTTTAAAAATAAATTTGAATGAATACAACTTTGAGATAAAAAGCAATGGAGAAATGTGTGATGAAAATTGTTCCAATTAAGCTGTACAATTACAGCTGTACATGTTGGGAAATAGCATTGAAGACGACTTGAATTTAATTTAATTTGCACTTAATTTGAAGACAACCTTAAACTTTATGCTAAAAGAAAGATAAATTATTGTAAGACATAAGATATGGATGACAAAGTTATAAAATAAGTAATAAAACAAATACCAATTATTTTATGTATGCAATATATGTTTATATGCAAGATCATGCATCATTGTTTTTAAACACATTACATTATTTCCATTCAATGACGCTATAACCCAAGTCGGGTTTTGGCTTCCACAATCTTCCACCCCCATATCTCTCTGTCCATCATCCTCTAATTCCTCCTGCCTAAGATGTTCCTGATATTACATTATTTACATATTACATTTTTATAGGATTAAAGAGACAAAACACTGCAATAGTATTGTCAAATCAAAAATAGTGTAGAGATTCTTAGAAACTAATAATGTAATTTATGAATATAGTGATATCACAAAATTTACTAAGTTTATGTTTTTAATTAATTTATATAAATATGATGTCAGTAGTAAAAATAAAAAAGAATGTGTAATGTAAAATAGTAATGTTTATTAATATAAAATAGTTTTAACAACGAAGCTGTATTATATAAAAGATATGTATACAAACATATACAAAATATATAAAAAGATTAGATTACAAAAATTCTATTTTCTATATTCTATTTTCTATATTTGATCACATTCAATATATTATATTTGCTATGTTTATACATTTATATGTCCTATAGTGAAAAAATAGGTCTAAATATAAAATAATTAAAGCAGAGCTATTTCATTTTTTGAACAGATACATGCATTTGATCTTTTTTCAAAGTGATCTTTTCAAGATATCTTTTGTATTGAATCTTAAGATCTTGCATTAAAATCAATACTGATCTCTGATTTTCATGAAAATTCAGTGTTTCGTTTTTTTGATGGCCACACGTGGATACATTTGTCGCCATTGTTCAATAAAATGATCAGAAATGTTATCACAATAGCTGAGATCGATCATCTCTAACTCAGGACAACGCATGAAAAATGTATGACACGTATCGGCTGTGAGAGATAGCGCGCCTACCAAATCCAACTGTTTCAAATATTTGCATGACGCCAATGCTTTCAAATCGCGATCGGTAAGTCCTCTAAAACAGGGCAAGAAGATTTTTTCCAAATATTGGCAGGAAGAAAGGAAATAACGAAAGCTTTCACCATCTCCAGTTGTATAACCACTGTAAACAAAATAAAAACCATATATTACTATTACAGATTTCCAAGAAAAAAATGTTTTCAAGCAAATTCTAATTTCAAATTCTAATTAAAAAAGCAGTATTCAAATTCTAATGAAGAATATAGATAATGTAGAAAGTTATTATAGAAAATATGATGACACATACCACCAACCAAAATTCACTTCCCGAAGATTTTTGCATTCGGAAAGTTCAATGAGATACCGCGATGTAAAAACATGTGCTTTCCAGAAATCTACACTCTCCAAATTTGGACAATGTCTTCTCAATTCCTCGGAAACATTGCCTATATCGACTTCTCCTTGAATATTTGCTATAAGCAAGTAACGCAATCGAGGATTACTTCGCACTATTTCGCAAAGAGTAAAAGTTGTTACATAATTTCTATATAAATCTAAACGCTCCAAAAACTGCAAGTTTGCGAGATACAAAAGTCCTCTGTCCGATACACTGCAACCACCTAGATCCAGTTCTAAGAAAAAAGCATATAAAAACATATATATTAACTGTATTAATTAATTTATATATATATATATATATATATATATATATATATATATATATATA